ATGGCTAAATGAGTAAGTAAACTGTGATGTAAGATTGAGGACTGAAGTGAAGAGAGTTGTGAATATAACATTGATGCTCACTTGAGTAGCATACAATTGTCAGCCTTATGTGTTGATATTGAATTAGTAAAATTATGAAATAAGTGATCATTGTATGTTGCATTATTAGTTGCTGAGCGTTTGCCTAAGGAGAAAAGTAGATAAAATTCATATGGTATATACAGCTACCTTTCAGTGCAAGAAGGCATAGCCTTATCCTACTGTTTGTTAAGAGACTATCCTATAATTTGTCGATAGATTATAACTTAACTATCTCTACCTATTTATCAAGGAGATTAGCTTAGGGCATATGACACCCTATAGATTCGAGAATGAGGAAAACTGTGGTCCAAGAGTGAGTTTTATGATCGTTGGCCGTGTCACACCTCACAATTGGTGAGTTTAAGTAGTCCATTCACATGGATGGAGCCATATTTGATGTTATAGCCCACAATTTCAATCAGAGGAAATAATGAGGATATAAGGATGATTTAATCATGCATATGTGTCTATCCAACATGTCGTATGGTTGTTAAATTTGTGGCAAGTCATAGTAGCGAGTGTGCCATTGTCAAAGAGTTATTTGTGTTGTGACAAGGTGCATGGGATAATGATTTGGGTCATTGTCACATATCTATGTGTCTTGTGGCAATATACCTGTGATTTGGGATAAGATATGTGAAAATGAAATGAATTGTGGAATTGTAACTTGTATCACACATAATTGATGCCTTTGAATAATCAACTCATATTTACAATGTTATTTTAATTGATATACAATTGCACAGTGTAGGTGTACTTTGATTACTAAGTGGCTAGACTCACCTCTCTCTTTCAATATTTTATAGGCTATAGCTCTGGTGTAGAAAAGGGAAAGACTCGGAGGCTTAAGAATTCATGAAATTCCTACTATAAAGCCTCCTCATTCCATGTATTTTATGTAATGCACTGGATATTGCTAGTTAGGATATATTTTTGCATACACTTGCACTATATTATTGTTAACGATTTTTAGAATGTATTTTAGGCCTTGGGTTATTGGTTGTAAATTTTTCAAGTGTTTAATAGGACTAAATACTAGTACAAGTGCAGAATTGTTGATTTGGTTTTAACTGTGAATGTTAAATGGTTTATACAATGCTAAAAGGGAACTCCCCCTTATGATTTTGGTATTAAGGGATTGAGGAATGAAATTTTGATGTGATTAGAGTTATGTGTATGTGGTGTGTTGTACAGGGATTCCTAAGTCCTATAAGTGTGTTCTGGGTGATAGAAATAACTTTTGGCACAAATATGGGGTTTTGGACACCCCTTTAGTTGTGAAAGTTGTGAAAAATTGTAAAAATATATTTGAATGTCCAACTTTCTTGTATGACTTACTTTGAAAGTAAAATTTATGCCATTAGCTAATTTGTAAAAAAAGTTTTTCATAGACATCTAGATCATCTCATTTGAATGTCAGATGGAGAAATAAGGCACATTGAAAGTTGCTCAAGTTTACTATCAAATGACAGTTAATTTGCTGTCAAAAGTGTGTAACATGCCACAGTGCATGGTGCTTGTGCCACGGCACTTGGTATAAAGAGTGAGGAGCCGCGATACATTGCTCTATTTTTTAGACTATGATATTTTTCAACTATTTTTGAATCATTTCACTCCTTTAAGGTATCTTACACTTCCGTAACATTATTTTACTCTGGTTAACAGTAAATAAATGATTTTGACTTATTTTAAACTACAAAAACTTGAAATCTCATTTTTACAAATTTCAACTTGGTAATCCCTTATGAGTTAATCCCTTGATTATCTTGAATTTTTCAATTTAATTGTGTTTAGATAAAGGAGATACTACATATTGCACGAGTCCTATATAGTCCATTGAATGTGATCTATGGGTTAGTAAGAGTTTTTGGCACTTAGATCAAATGTGGGACACCCTAGATGTGTGTAATTATAAAAAAAAAAGTGAATTTAAAAATGGGTGTCCAACTTCTGATTGGAAAATGATTTGATTGTGAAACTGGTACTATTAGTTAGAGCTTGGAGAAATCTTTCTTTAGAGGCTTAGAATACCTTAATTAGATGTAGGACGAAAAAATGGGACACATCGAAAGTTCATCTTAGAAGTTGTCATTTGAGAGAAAGTTTGTTGTCATATTCGTGTAATCACTGCGGCACATGGCATAGGGGCAAATGTGCCATGACTCATCTACAATGAGCCACAATGCACCTCTGTCTTTGTGTTGGAATGATGTTTTCCTATCATAATGCATCACAAATCGGATTCATATGCTTCCGTAAACATTCTAACTCTAATTTTTATTGAAGAAAAGATTGTTCATAGTGTTGAGTTTAGAAAACTTAGGATCCTTTTTCTTGTTGATTTTTTGACCTTGGTGTTTCAGTTGGTTTAGCCAAGACTACCTATGATCTGGGAGTTAAGTGCGATTTAATAAGGATAACTTTATACAACCTCTCACCTTTTGCAATTAGTCCCTTGGCTCTCCAGCCTCTAATGCTGGATTAACAATGAAAAGTTGCATTTTCTCATATAGACAATCACCAAACCAATTACGAATTCTGATTAAAATAATATAAATTGATTTATTTTGTATAATTTCTATCTACTACTTCCCCCTCCTACTCTTTGAATTATTGCAATTTAATTTTCACTTTTTGCTCGTTATTCTTTATTGTACAATAACAATCATGCCTCGGGAAAGGGTTAGGGGTCATGGTCTCTTAACATACTAATCTTAATCTAAAAATTGAGTTTTTGTGCTAATGATAACATGTTGAATAGAAAGGACCTTAGAGAAAGTGATGCTTTCATATAGAGGGAGAAGTGGCTGTAGGTTAGAGTACAAATTGCCGTGGATTTAACACTTCCATTTATAAAAGAGGGAAACAATTACATTAGTGATGCATCACATGACAATAAAGTATAAACCCTATTCCAAGTAATCAAAAGGTTGGGCAACCTTGCAATGGTGCGCTGAGCAGCTATAATTTCTATCTCTTTGTATGTATTTGTTAGATAATGTGCTCCTTCAAGTATCTCCTTCTAGCTATACATTAACAATCAATTAATTATTAATTAGTTATATTGTACTTTTTTTCCCACCTCAAATTTAAAAAAATTGTAAGAAGAAAATAGAGGTATTGCCCTATTGGTTTCCAAGTGTTTGAGATTTAGAAAATTTAAAAAATTTTTGGACCGTTATCAAATATCTCTTAAACTTCAGATTTGTTTTTGTGATATTTTGAGGTTTTTGAATAAATCAAGATTGAAACTCGTAAAATAAAATTTTTAATGAAGTAAAACATAGTTCTAATATATAATTTGCACTTTCACTTGATGCATGCATGAACACGATGTATCAATCAATCAACTATCTCGACAAATCTTGTGGATTCTTCATCTGATTGGTCAAATTTGCTCCTCTCTAATGGGTGGGTGAACTTTGGTTTAATTTTAAATCTCTCTCATTGGTGGATGACTTGTATATTCTCGTTGGTTGGTTCTCTCTTGTTTATATGGCATTATGTGTTGGCTTCATTTTTCAAATTTGAAATTGATGCTCATGATTTTCATGGAGCAACAATAACTTCCTTATAATATGGTCCCCATCTGTTTCCCATGCCGTTGGCCTGTCATAAAGGTGTCCATAGGTTTAGTTTTGGGGGGAAAAAACTGAACTAAACCAATCAATTCACTAAAGCTTAAGATGTAACAACCTCCATCATTAACTTTTAACTACTCCACTGGCCAACACCTTTAACAAAAAGATCAATAACTTTTCATTTAAAACATTTACTACAAGACAAGTTGGAATTGAGATCCCAAAATAATTAAAAATTAAACAAAATATGTTTTGAAGGTCAGAGTATTTAAATTGTATGGAAACATGGAATATCTAAACATTGCATTGAACCAAAGTATAAAAAGGACACAACAGTCATTTTGAAATATTGTACAAGCTTGCCACGCCCAAGACCCATTCATCGCGGTCAACACACGTGGTAACCCTCATTGTGACCAACCCCACTATAATATCCTCGCCGCTGCTATTGTCACCTTTGACGTGGTCTATGGAATAGAGGCCTTCTTGCCACAGCCAACGCCAACATACATACTCACCATGGCCACAAGTGACGCTTACCATGACAAGCTCTGCATAAACAGTCTCGCCATGACAGCAAATAGGTTAAACATCCAACCCCTCACAACTAATAACTATGTCCTCCAATTAAGGTGACCCAAGCTTTCATACGCAACTAAAAGAGCACATCACACCTAATACCATGGACCCAAACGCTTTCATGCTAATAGAGGATCCTGGAATACTATGTGGCAACTTAAGTCTTTAGACTCTTTATACATGCACAAGTACCCCCTATTAACTATCAACCAAATTTCCAAGTTTAGTCAGGCATAAATACTCTATTCAACACTACGATTGCATCAAAGCAAGTACCACCCGTTAATCATAATATCCTCACATTTACATAGTTGACCTCTCATTCAAAATATAAGGCCAACTACCAACAAAATTGCCCAAATTACCATTTGAACTCACATGCAAATGAATTATAAATCTCACGTATACAAATGTATACATTCAATTGGCTCGTTAATTCTGTACGTTCGATAAGGAAATATAAGAAAAATATTATTTTTCATTAACTTTTAAAATTTAAATTGTTGAGACATCAACTATCTACTCATTTATATCAGATCAACTCCTACAACGCACAGGGTTTGAGTCTAGTTGTCTTGATCTCCCCTGAAGCTTCAAAAATTTTCATTTAAAATTATATTACTTACTCATGACCTTTTCAGTAATTTACAGAGGTAAATAAACTTCTACTAGTAAATATCCAATCATAAATTAAAATGGGGTCATGAGTTAAAATGGGGTCATATAAAAATTACTTCCCAATTACACAATCCAAAAAAATGGGGTCACAATAAAATCAAGTCTTCCATTCATAAATTAAAATAGGTTCCACAGTATTCTAGAAGATAGATCACAAAAGCAGTGATTATCCATAGGTTCCACACAATGCAATAGAAAACATGATTCCCTGAACTTGGCATCACAGTATCATGCCTACATTAGAGTCCACAATCCACAATAAACTGAATAGTACAACGACGACCAAAATTCGATAGACCAGCCCCAGTGCTTTATTCAGAACCGAACCAGAATCTTCAACCTAAAATGTTTAAATAGAAAGGAATGAGAGATTGATACCGTAAAATAACTAAAATGTACTCAAACCACCATGACTTTATATAAAGGATTCCCATAACAAATTTCAATAAAGAAATGATGTGGATGCCACACAATAGGATTTCTTTCAAAACAGTAATCCAAGTCCCCTGTTGGGACTTCGACTATATCCACACGAACAGATTGCACCACGCCTAATGTACATATCTAGCTTTGAATTGTTTTGGAATTTTGACAACTGAACATATTCAATGATTTTGGTGTGAGTTGCCCTTTCCCTTTATTTTCGAAACAAAGTCTAAGGGAAATTGTTCAAAATAAATGTCGCAGTAGATTTAGACTACTACAAAGCACTGCTCCCAAATTTCCAGATCCCAAAAACAGTAGAGATCCGTGAACGTGAATCAAATGTCTTCTAGCTACTTAAACCAAGAGAAAATCACTAATACATAAATCAATCAAGAGCTTTAAGGAATTCATGATTTTGCTTCATCAGTAAGCAAACAGAGGCCAAAGAAGAAGTGAACTATTTTGATTGGGTACTCTTAAGCATCATACACTAAATATAAATAATACCATTCTTTTGAGAATGATCATACATGATATGCTTTAGCATCTGGTGTTGGGGAATGCAAATCTCTTTTAGATGATCTCAGGCATAATTACTCTCATTTTTAATAGAACTAGAATGGACAAAACGAAACTCACCTTCAATATAGCCACCACATTTGATGATTTGAACAGGTAGCTTAAAACCAGATTCGCCAATCATATTCAGTGTGCGTTTTCCACCAATAAGCTCCCCAAAGACCACGTATGAACTGCACAACATTCCAAACAGGTTCAATGAATTCACTTCTTCAAATGCAATGTTTGCACACCGGGCAACGTATATTCCCACCCCAGCTGATCATGAGAAGGAAAAGATAAGCAAAAACAGTGATAAATACCTCCAATAATTAACTATATAAACAAACCTGTCAAGGGATGGATCAGCTTTCAATGTGATCACAAATAAAGAACCAAATTTTTTGCAATCATCTTTTGACATTGACAAAAGACCTTCTTTAGAATGCTCAAGAGTAGGTGACTCATCTGAAATAAATCACAAGAACAATAAAGAACCTCCATTCATCAAAATAAATAGACAAAGACATCTATGCTTTTTAAAAGCATGATCCAGGATCAAGCATTCTCACCTGGGAAGTTTGAACCATATATGCTTTCTCCACATCCCTCTGCAAAAAGATAAAAATGAAACTTATACTTCCAATCAACATTGTAATTATGAAGAACCGCTTGGTTCACAATACTAACTCAATATGATACAGTATTGAGAGGATCCTTCAAAGCAGAATCACAAGAACAATGCAGAACCTATATTCATCAAAATAAATAAACAAAGACATTTTGGAAGCTTTTTCTAAGTGTGACTCCAGGAACCAGGATCCAACACTCTCACCTGGGCATCTTGAAGTATAAGTGAATTCTTGAAAGTCCCCTGCAAAAAGATAAAATTGAGATGCAGAGGTGTCAGTAAGAGTAGACATTATATCCAGGGATGAAACTTATAATTGCAACTAACATTGTAATTATGAAGAACCGCTTGGTAATACTAGCCCAATATGAAACGGTATTGAAAGGATCCTTCAAAAACGAATTTATAGACAAGCAAAACAGTATTTTTAAGTAAATTGAAGACTAAAGATTTAAATGTACACTAATACACATGAATATCAACAGTAGCATCCGGTTAAACTTTGGATTTCCAAACAGATACACTATTTAACCACTCATTTAGAAATAAATCTTCAGTGAAAACATCTTTAATTGCAAAAAAAAAAAAAATGACCCAGTTAAAATCCTCAATTGCTAATTGTAATCCAATCCTACTATTTAGTGACCCATAAGATTCAAAGACAAGAGGATACAAATTTCCTTATGATCAATATCAAAATATCTAAGATAAAATATATAAGACACATGATTCACAAGTAGTGAACATTATGATTCATACTTCAAATTCTGTCCAATGCTAAAACCTAAAAAAAATCAGCTTTTATTTAATTAGTAATTGATTAGTAATAATAAGGAAAAATAATAAACAATTGCTTCATGGGATAAGTCAAGATGATATGATGAAAAACCATGAGATGGGCAACCTCAAAATAAAAAAATTGATTTATTGTACAGAACTAGTCAAGTAGGCCATCTTAAGGTCAATGCATCAATACAAAACGTACCTCCAGCATAAATATCACCCCCCTGCAAAAGGAAAACCAGCTATCAATACATAGTCAGAATACCACATTGCATACAAAACATGTTTGGACATTACAAAGCCTACTTAGCATTATAAGGTGGACAACTTTGTGGGTGCAAGTTGAAAACTATATTAGTACATGCCTTGATATAGGAGCAACCTTGCTCGATGGGATAAAAGAAAGAGCCTACATACCACAGTACCTGACCATTTGGACTGAGTCCCTTTTCTCCTGAACAAAGAGAAAATTAAATGAGAAATGGGGAACCCATATCATAAACCATAAAATCAAAATGAATTAGCATGTCCTAGCGCTTGTTCAAATACCCAGAGTGTAATTGCATAACAGTAGGGTTTTACCAAAGGGTTATGATGATATCAAATTATCACCTGTACATAGCGCACGGAAATTTTCTGCAGTAAAGGGGGCTATATCATAGAATAGCTGGGAGGACAGAAGAATTTATTAGGTTTCATTTATACTCTCCTCAAAGTCTAAGTTGCAAAATCCAAAAGGCATAAAATTCTTCATGTATTGTTGAAAAAGAATAAAGGTACCTTAAAAATCATCCTTTCACAACAATGATCATCTATACAGACGTCCATAAAAACCAAGGGATTCTTCTGCTTAAGCATCGGCAATACCGTTAGCCTAGTTAAGGGGCGCCTAACTTCAGCTGCAATAATGACATGTATGAAAATTAAAGCAACTGATATACAATTATAATAACGACTTATATTTTAGGGAAGTTTATTATAAATTAATAATTCAGGGAGTTTTATTTTAAATTTGATGTTAAATTATAATAATGACTTACTCCCTCCATTTAAAAATGTAAAACATTTTTTGAAGAATTAGATGTTAAAAAATATAAAGCACTTTTAACCTTTCAAAATATAATTATTGTCCTTTTTCCAAAAGTGTTCCTATTGAATAAATCACTTATATTTATTTTAGAGTGAAACACCCTATTAAATAAGGGTAAATATGAAAATATAAAATTAGTTTGAAAACAAGTAACTACTTTATTAGCGGATGAGATTAGGTTAAAAATACCTTGCATTTTTGAAAGGGGAAGTATTAATTCAGTGAGTTTTATTTTGAATTTAATTTTAAATTGGATAAGATTTAGATCATATTTATATTAGATTAGATTAGATTAAACTATATCATCCACATAAAAACCAGCCTATTTTTCATGATTTTGCTTTTGGTGAGCAAATAGAGGTCAAAGATGAATTGATCTATTTTGATTGTGTGATCTTAAGCATTATACACTGAATATAAATAATACCATTCTTTTGAGAATGATCTATTCGCTTTCGCTTTCCCCATGGAACATCTTCAAGACTTTCATCATCACTGTTGTTGTCAGTTTCGCTTTCACTACCTGAATAGGTCCATCTAATGTCAAGCCAAGAAAGAACCATACACAAAAAGGCGAGACAGATCATGCATTACACAGTAAATATAAATGAGAATGATCTCAACACTTATGATTCTTCTGTTGAACATGACGACCATCAATATAATCAAAGGCATAATTTTGATTGAACTAAGATAGACAAATGAGTCACACCTTCAATATAAACCCCACAATCGTCAACTTTAACAGCGACCAATGAAGCATAATCATCAGCTTCAACAGGCAATGAAGGCAACTCTTCAATCTTTCTCAACGTATCAAATCCATCAACAAGCTGCCCAAAAACCACATTGAACCTGAAAAAGATTCCACACAACAGAATAAGTAAATTATATCAAATTCAATGTTTGCAAACCAGACAATTGAATTGACACCCCAGCAGCTCATGAGAAGAGGAAAAAAAAAAAGGAGCAGAACACAGCACGAAATACCTCAAAAGAGTTAAAATATAAAACATATAAACAAACCTGTCAAGATAGTCATCGGGTTTCAATGTTATTGCAAAATGAGAACCAATACCATAACGATCAGCAATTGATATGGACAAAAGACCTTTTCTATCATGCTTAAACATAGCTGGCTCATCTGAAATAAATCACAAGAACAATGTAAAAACTCAGTTCAAAAAAATAAATAGTCAAAGCCATTTAGGCTTATGTATATAAGACAAAAAATTACTTTGAATTATTGCATTCTATATGGTAAGAGCTTAAAAGAATGACTCCAGATCTAGAATTCTCACTTGGGAATGTGAACCATATATGCTTTCTCCAATCTCTGCTAAACAAAAAAATGAGATGCAAAGGTTAAGAGCAGACATTCCATCGAGGAAGGATAAAAATGATTAAAAAGTTTGGAAAATTATAGAAAACTGAGCATTAGATAGATTGAAATATTGATTATTTGATTGGTGATCTAGTTCCAATATATTCATACCATTCTTTTGAGAATGATCTCTTTCGCTTTCGCTTTCCCCATGGAACATCTTCAAGCTTTCATCATCACTTGTTGTTGTCAGTTTCGCTTTCACTACCTGAATAGGTCCATCTAATGTCAAGCCAAGAAAGAACCATACACAAAAAAGCGAGACAGATCATGCATTACACAGTAAATATAAATGAGAATGATCTCAACACTTATGATTCTTCTGTTGAACATGACGACCATCATATAATCAAAGGCATAATTTGATTGAACTAAGATAGACAAATGAGTCACACCTTCAATATAAACCCCACAATCGTCAACTTTAACAGCGACCAATGAAGCATAATCATCAGCTTCAACAGGCAATGCAATGAATCAACTCTTCAATCTTTCTCAGTATCAAATCCATCAACAAGCTGCCCAAAAACCACATTGAACCTGAAAAAGATTCCACACAACAGAATAAGTAAATTATATCAAATTCAATGTTTGCAAACCAGACAATTGAATTGACACCCCAGCAGCTCATGAGAAGAGGAAAAAAAAAAAAGGAGCAGAACACAGCACGAACAGCACGAAATACCTCAAAAGAGTTAAACATATAAAACATATAAACAAACCTGTCAAGATAGTCATCGGGTTTCAATGTTATTGCAAAATGAGAACCAATACCATAACGATCAGCAATTGATATGGACAAAAGACCTTTTCTATCATGCTTAAACATAGCTGGCTCATCTGAAATAAATCACAAGAACAATGTAAAAACTCAGTTCAAAAAAATAAATAGTCAAAGCCATTTAGGCTTATGTATATAAGACAAAAAATTACTTTGAATTATTGCATTCTATATGGTAAGAGCTTAAAAGAATGACTCCAGGATCTAGAATTCTCACTTGGGAAATGTGAACCATATATGCTTTCTCCAATCTCTGCTAAAACATAAAAAAATGAGATGCAAAGGTGTAAGAGCAGACATTCCCATCGAGGAAGGATAAAAAATGATTAAAAAGTTTGGAAAATTATAGAAAACTGAGCATTAGACTAGATGAAACTTATACTTGTAATTAAAATTGTGATAAAAAATGGTGAAAATCTAGTTCCAGAGTTCATATTCAACTTTCAAACATAATCTGGGGTGACTCTAATGAATAAGCTAAGCACAAAGTGAAGAAAAAGAAAGTAAATAAGGGAAAGACAAATTGAATAAAAATGACGTATTAAACAAGTAAAACAGTATTTTTATATGAATTGAAGATTTACATATAAACTGATACACATAAATATAGCAATTGGTTGAACTTTGGATTTTCCAAACAGATAAACTATTTAATCACTCATTTAGAAATAAATCTTAGGTGACAACATTTTTAATTTGAAAAAAATGATCCAATTAAAATCCTCAATTGTTAGTCTTAATCCAATCCTACTATTCAAAGACCCAAATGATTCAAAGACAAGAGGATACCAAATTTACTTATAATCAATATATCAATATCTAAGATAAAATGTATAACAAGACACATTACACATAGGCAGTGAACAGTTGACTCATTCAAGTTCTATGTAATGCATAAAAAAAAATTATACTTTTATTTAAGTGGTAATAGTAAATAGTAAAGTAATATTAACAACATCATGTGATGAGTCAAGATGATATGACCAAAACCAGGAGACGGACACCTTCAAAAAAATTGACAGTAACTACATGTACTGTATCAAATTACAAGCTTGAAAAACTAGAGCAAGAAGTTTGTCATCCTACTGTCAATGGATCAAGACAACGTACCGGATGAATCCATAAACCACCCCCCTGTAAAAGGGAAACCAGCCATCAATATATAGTCAAGATACCATAATGCATACAAAATGGGTTTCAACATTATGAAGATTATTAGCATTATAAGATGGACAGGTTAGTAAGTACTAGCTTAAAATTACACAACAAGAAAAGCAGTTGCGACAATCAGCCCTGTAACCTACAACATAAACTAGGATAACTGGCTAAAGAAGGGACGACCATTAGGCCATGTTCAACCTCAACCACAACATCAAGGATAGAACAACAATAGAAAACAACGATCTTAGATGTAACAATAGTACAAAAAATAACATACCTTCACAAAGGAGCCATCTTTCACGATGTGATAAAAGGAAGTACCCTTGTAGTGCAGTGGCACATATAATTTGTCATGATTCCCTTCTCCCTCTCTCAACAAATGGAAAAACAAAATGAGAAATGAGGAACTTGTATCATGAACCATAAAATCTAACTGAATTAGCATGGCCAAGGCCTTGTTCAATTAGTCAGGACTATAATTGTAGTATGGGAGGGTTTTACTAGGGAAATAAAAACAACCAACCAATTACAACCTGTACATAGTGCATGAAAATTCTCTGCAGCGTAGGGGAAAATCTCATCGAATAGCTGGTGGGAAGATGAAAGAATTCATTAGGTTACCTTTTGACTCTCCTCAAAGTTGAAAGTTGCAAAATGCAAAATATAAAAACTTTATCAGCTATCACCACAATCATTGTAATCCAAAAGTATTAAAAAGAAAATGGTACCTCAAATCAAAATCAACTTTCCAACACGTTTATTATGTATAGAAATATCCATAAAAACCCGGGGATGCTTCCTCTCTTCCATTGTCTTCCTTTAATGTATCAGAACTCAGGCCAATATAAACACTGAAGTCACAAAAGTCAGTAAAGAGGCACCAATTAATTATTGATATTAAGTAATATTTCACCCGAAGCGTAAACTGATACAAGCACAGTTCACATCAAAGCACGGCATTTATAAGCTTGACAAGCAATAATTTCCTGATGCATTGTGACTTCATAAGTGGTTCCTGCTTAGCAATCGTAAGTGGCTGGCCCGATAACGAAGGTTGAAAAAAAGAGAATGTATGCAGGGAATGTATAGAAGGAAGAAGAGGGAGATGTCAAACATAATTTTTTTCTTTGACTACATATCACAAATTAAGGATTGAGAAGAAAAAAACAATATTCCCATCAAAATCAAACAAAATCCCAACCTTTACCAACAAATTCGCCAGAAATTTACCGGAAAAAATCGTCTAAAAATAGCTAGAAAATTCCCATCATAGCAAATAAAAGAAAAGTTGACTGGCAACGGGCATGAACCTGAAGAAGCGGCCGTTGGAGCAAGGAGAGACGGTTGCGGTGACGAGGAGCAACTGTGGCGGCGGGATGTGGAGGATTCGGCGGACAAGGTCTTCTTTCAAAGTTGAGGAAGAAAGAGATTCGAGTGCGTGAGTCGTGAATGGGTGGGGGGCCGGAGGTTAACGTGTAATGGCATGACCCGCAGGTCGAAAGCACCAACGTCCAAAGCCAACAAATAAATTGCAAGAATGGTCCCTTACTAAGTAACGCCTTTAGAAGTATCTTTTCATTGCCAATTTAACCTTTTCGAGGTGTTTGGCTGAAAAAGAGAGGAGGGAAGGAATGTTGTCCCCCTCCTAAACCTAGAAATTCAAGCTAGCATGAATAATTTCAAAAAAAAAAAATTTGACAGGGCTTAGTATTTTAAAAAAAAAATTGATACTTTGAGCTTATTCGGGTAATTTAAATAAGCTCCAAAAAAATTGAGCTATTGGCTTGAATACTCATTTATCTTAAAAAAAAAATACCTACTAATATGCCGTGGGTGTTTGTGTGTGCGGTGTGCCTGAGGCTGCATCTTGTCTTACGTGGCTAAGCTAAGTCATTCATTAACATTAAAAAAACCCTAAAGCTTAAAATTCCCTTCGCATTCATTCAACCATCTCTAGAATTTCAGATCCAGTCCAGTGTCACTGTTTAGTCTTGAATCTTCACTTCTTCTTACTATAAACTAATCCACTCATCGAACTTCATTATCATTGGTCTTCACTCTTTACTTTCTCAATTTCTCTCGTAGCCTCTGTCACTAACCAACAACTAAGTCTTACTCGCATCCTAAATCTCTCTCACACTTCATGTCGACGTTTGCAATCTCTCACACTCATCGTACTCAAAACTAGAACCCACTACTAGATGAGCTCCATCCAGAACCCATTACGAGAAGGAGGTTCGTCTGAAAGACTAGAGCCCACAGCCACGACGCCAGCTTGAACAAGCTTAAGACTAAAGATGTTTTCTTATTCTTATTATTCTTTCTTTATCTCTCATGTGCACTATCTGAAGGTTTAAGAGGTTGAATCTAATTTGCGGAATCTGAATCTAATTTTTGAAATGTCTACTCTATTTCGATCTTTGTCTTTGTCTTTGATTGATTGATTGCTTCAATCTTTTCTCTGTTTCAATCTTTGAATCTAATTGATTGTTTGATCTTTGAATCAAATTTAATCACATAAATACGTTTACCCATGGGATATTCACATGGTATCACCATATCAACATTGAACTGATTTTGTTTTACTAGTGTTGGTGAACACATTTTAACCTTTGAATTCTCTTGTAAATATATTGGAGCCTCTTTGAGTCTGCCTCTGCTTGTATTTCAATGTAATTGTGCTATTATGTGGAATTAAAGTTCTTAAGCCTTTTGTAACTTGTAATTAAGGTATAATATACTTAAATTGATCTTTAATTTCTAATTCTATGCAGTAAAATATGTCTTCTAGTCAAAAGAAGTAACCAATGAAAATGTGGGTGGTAGTGCTAGTAGTAAGATAAATGATAATGTGCATGGCAACGGTAGGGTAATTTATATGCCTCCCTTTCAAAAGAATAATGAAATAAATTACTTGCCTCTGTAATTAAATCAGTTGCTTCTACAGGTAAGAAACCTATTGCCTCTACAAGTAAGAAATCTGTTAGTTCTGGTAATTCTAGTAAAAGAACCAGTTCTGAGAAAGAAAGGAAGCCATATATTTCTAAAAAATCAAAAACTTGTACGTCTAATGTTTGGAAGTCTTTTTCTAAAATTGTTGTTGATGGAAAAATAAAAGTAAGATGTAATAGTTGTAACAAAGACCTAGCAAGATCTATGGCTGATGGCACAGCTCACTTAGCACGGCATGTCAACATGTTAAAAATTGTCCACAACTTGTTAAGTATCACGATATTAGTTTGATGATGATGGACAAAGAAGGAAAACTGATGAGAGGATTTATCCATGATGATAATTGAATATGATTTGCCTTATTTCATTATTAAATATAAATGACTGAAGTACTATTCTTTAATGTTGAATCCCAGTATAAAGTGCATTACTTGAAAAATAGTTGTGTCTGATGTTACAAAAATCTATCAAGGGCATAAAGAAGCATGAAGCAAAAATTGTTAAACGTGTTGGAAGAATTTGTTTAACGTCTAATTGTTGGACTGCTATAACCTCTGAAGGTTATTTATGCTTGACTACTCATTTTGTTGATGAAAATTGAAAATTAAATAGTAAAATACTTTCTTTTTGTAAGATGGAGCCTCCACATTCTGGAAAATAACTAGCTAAAAAAGTGTATGATTGTTTGAGTGATCGGGGAATCATTAAGAAAGTATTTTCTATCATTTTAGATAATGCATCTATAAATGGTAAATATGCAAGAAATTTTGAAACAAAGGTATAATGGCTTGATTTGTAATGGAGAATTTTTTTCATCAAAGGTGTTATGCCTATACGTTAAATTTAATAGTTCAAGAGGGCTTACAAGTGACAAGTACTACTCGAAACAAGATTAGAGATAGCACTAAGTATGTCAAAGGTTAAGGCAAGGGCAATTGCTTTCAAAAAATGTGTTGAGGAGATTGGTAGTATTGATAATTCAATTGGCTTGAAGATGGATGTACCACTAGATGGAATTCTACTTTTGCAATGCTTGAGAGTGGATTATAATACTGCCAAGCTTTTACTGGCTTTGCATGTGTTGATAATAATTTCATTCATTACCTAACATATGAAGAGTGGAGGAGAGGAGATGTGTAATTTCTTAAGGCCATTTGTTGTTATAATAAGGTTGATGTTTAGAACGTCTTATCCTACTCCAAACTTGTATTTCGCTCAAGTATCAAAAATTTAGATCTTGTTGGATGATAATATGGTAAATGGTGATCCTATGATATAAGAAATGTCTCAAAGAATGAAAGAAAAAATTTAACAAGTATTGAAATGATTATAGTACTATCCTTGCAATTGCAACTGTGTTTGATCCACAAATGAAAATTCAAAAGATGTAGTACATGTATGCAAGGATTAATCCTGTAAATTTTCCTCCCAAGATAGAGAGTATTCAAAGCAAGTTGAAATATATTTTTAATCAATACAAAGAGATGGATGCTCTTTCCTCTGATCTTAAATCAAGTTCAACAATTCCAATACAAGCAAATCAAGTTGAATCCTTCACTATTTATAGTGTTTTAGCTTCAACCATGACTAGTAATGTTCCAGGGGTTTAGATGTAAGTTTCATTTCATGTTATTATTAATCTATTTTTTTATTTTAATTTATTAGTTGGCATTTTATTAAATTTTTACATGTTATAGGATTGGATTAATTGTACAAGCATGGATGTTATGTCCGTTGGAAAGTCTAAGCTAGATTTTTATTTGAATGAAGCAATACTTCAACCCCAAGTATATCAAGATTTAGACGTGCTCAATTGGTGGAACACCAATAAGGGTATATTCCTAACTTTCAAAGATGGCAGTCGATATTCTTAGCATTCCTATTACTACAGTGGCAAGTAAATCGATTTTAGTATTGGATCATGTGTTGTCACAAAAATCAAAGCAGTCTTCTTCCTTCTAATTTTCAAGCTCTTATTGCAGTCATGATTGGCTAAGTGGTTTTCAGTATGATGGTAATGTAAAATTTAAATATATGATTATTTTGTTATATAATTATTAAGTAAAATTTGATTTCATTAAATTATAATTAAAAGCTTTTCCTTTGTTGGCTTGTTGCATATAGTGAAGAGAGAGAGAGAGGACTGAGGGAGAAGATGTAGTGCTAGAGGGAGAAAGAGAGGGAGAGAAAAGGAGGAATCACTTGAACCAAATCCAAATCTGGATATGGATTTGTCTGTTAATAAGGGTAACAAATGTAGTTTTGGATGGTGAATAATGAGTACGAAGGGCCATAGGACTTGGATTT